CCTAGCAGTTCAAATGCATGCTAATGGAAGTAGATAAATAGGTACCAGTTTGGTGGGAATATAGCAGTGCTGTGTGACAACATGCTGGCCACATGACCATGGAAATGTCTTCAGACAGCACTGGCTCAATAGCCTTGAAACGGAGATGAGCACCTCTCCCCATAGTTGACAATGACTAGTGGAATAAAATCTGCAGGGACTCCTTTAACTTTTTCTTTTACATCTACCTTTCTGTCATCCATCTTCCTTTGGGCTTCTGCTATTTTTTTTAACCAGTATTATCCACATCATCCTTTTTAATCTTTGTCTTTCTCAAGCTAGTAGACATGGCTTCCCTTCACTGCTATTTGGTCACCTTTAAGTTTACAAGAACCTGCTCCCTTTATCTTTTAGCACTGTTTTCTTTCTTTCTTCTCCTCACTCATTCTGAATGAGAATTTAGTGTCTATAATACTACTTGGAGTAGATGAAATCTTATTACATTGAGGGCTGTTGCCTCTTTCCAAGGCAATTCTCAAGAAAAAAAAAGAATGGGAAGAGGACGGTGTTTCCTAAGTGAAGGAACACACAACTTACTAACAACCCATCACCACAGTTTTGCTGCTGAAACCATCTGTGTTCTTAAAACAAGAGGGAGAGAGAGAGAGGGAAGAAGAGAGAGAGAGGGAGGGAGAGAAAGAGAGAGATGCATACAGACTAACTAAAGAATGTGCGAGTGAAATCTCATTTTTTAAAATATTTTAAATAAATATGACAGAAGATCAAAAGCTGACAAAAAAAATGTTCAGCTATTTCTTACTTTTCATAGAGTTCTAGTAGCTTCTCGTAAACCTTAATCCAGTCTTCTTTGACATCTGTATGATTTCTTTTTTCATACAAATTTGCTAAGCCCTGGGTGAAATTGAAGAATGTCACTTTGATGTGTGATATAGAGCTTCAACTTCAATGATCAACTTTTATGGACTATCCCTTCCAACATAACATTTTTAATAACAGAAAATGAATTAAAACAATTCATGATAAGAATATATAAATTCTTCACAAACAAGAGATGATTATAGGTAGTCCTTTGGTTCACAATAGTACTTGGGACTAGGACTGCTGCTGCTAAGTGACTGCAGTCATAATTGATGATATCACATAATTGCATCATTTAGCAACAGCAATCCTAGGCATTTCTGGTTGCCATCGTAAACCAAAGACATAGAGCATTAAATAGAAAGAGGAGGATTTCCATGGAAGGAATGCAGGGGTGCAATAGATTGTGGGGGGAACCAAGGGAGATCTGGCAGAGGCCACAAAAAATGCATGAAGTTCGGGGGAGGGTCTGGATGGCTGGTGCAGGTCATACACAGGGATGCTGCAGGTCAGAGAGAAAGCAGGAATGACTTACTGGAGCAACTTGTGATGCCTCTGATAACTTCCCCATTGATTTTGCTTATGGGAAACCAGCAAAGTCACAAATGGCAATCAGGTGACCCTGACTCCTTATGACATTATAATTAGGAGGCAGACACCCAAGTGCCCCAATCATGATTGTGACCATGTGAGTCATTCCAAAGTGGAAACTTTGATGACTGGTTGTACATCCATTTTTTTCAATGCCATAACTATGAACAATCACTGAATGAATGGATATAAACTGAGGATCACCTCTATAATCATTTAAGATATCGACAACTGTTTCTCATGTAACAGAAATAATCTGATTTGCAATAGGAATAAAAAATTGTCATTGACCCAAAACCCATAGTGTTCCACTGGACAAAGCCTTGTGTTTTGAGGCTCTGCTACTCATTCTGGGGCTGAAAATGAAGAATTTATAGTGCCAAGACATACAAAGCATCTTAAGTAATATATATTACACATCTGCAAATGAGCTATTAGCCAAGGTAAGAAAAGGAAAGGGGATTCTATTTTGTGACATTCAATCAGGAAGAGTCCAGCATAAGGCTTCTTACCTTTGAGTCCAACATGCTATTCAATGGTGGGATTCAATTTTTTTTACTACTGGTTCTGTGGATGTGGCTTGGTGGGTGTGGCAGGGGAAAGATACTGTAAAATCTCCAGTCAGGGGCGGTATTTGCCGGTTCTTCAAACTACTCAAAATTTCCACTACCAGTTCTCCAGAATTGGTCAGGACCTGCTAAATACTACCTATGATGCTATTGTATTTCCTGAAGATCTACAACTTATTCATATAAACAAATATGTTTACATTCACATACACGTTTGTATTGAAAATGTCATATATACCTGCCATGCTAGCAACTGCCCAGGATCAAGTTCAGCAGCCTTCTTGTATGCCCCTTGAGCTTGTTCAGGTTGTTCCAATTCAGCTGCCGCCAAGCCAATGAATACCCAAGCATTGTAATTATTTTTTTCTTGTTTCAATACTGCCTATTAAACAGAAATTCAAATGAAAATATCAAACTACTCTTTTTGCAATTCAGATAAACATTTATTAAATGATTTAACAGCTTAAAAACTCTTATCCCAGATTTATTGTCTGACTGTGTATTGCCTTACTCAAAAATTCAGATTAATTTATATGACATCTAAAATTGTGGAAGAGTCTTGATAGCAAGAAATATGTTCTGGATGGCACAATTTCCAGCATTTTCATTATATATAAAAGTGCTTGTGGAAAACAGCCTGCCAATGCCACTCTCTGAAGACAACAAACTAACCAACTAAACAAACTAACAACCTGGCTCAGTGGTTGGATTAAAAAATGATGCTAAACAATACTATAATGCCGTATGCTTCCTTGTGGCTTAATATGTTGTATGAACCCAACCACAGCTATTTGTAAAGTGATTGTACATAATTCAACAAAGTAGAAATAATAAAACCCTGGCTTAATAGGATAAATCAGGAAGTTTTATATAATTATAAAAGGAAAACAAATCCCAAAGGATATAAGAAAGGTACTGCTGCAGAAAATAGTATAAAAGAATACACAGCAAAGAGAAAGAGGAACAACCATGCAAGTGACACCCCTTAAATTACATCAGAGATGGTTATAGTACTATGAACATCTTGTAACATTTTAATGCAAACAATTTATGACCTTTGACTATTGATTACCTTGCAATGTTTCAGTGCTTCTTTATACTCCTTATTTCTTATTGCATCTCTGGCACTTTTCAATGCTGCTTTCACTTCCTTGTTTGACATGGCTACAGGTAATATTTATGTAAGAAAGTTACTGATACATATGAAGACAGTTGATGTATATTTGTAAAATAATATAGTACTTTACTCAGCAGTATAGCTAGGTTAAAAAAACATGTTTGACAAAGACATACTGTTGCATATATAAGAGAATACAACTAGTCTCTAGAGAGTATATACAGGCTCCACAATCCAAAATAATTGTGGTGTTAAAAAATGAAACTTTTGTTGCAATAACACATCCCAAGCCCTGGCCTTTTGTATTTGCATCCTAATGTCAGGTGTGAGTACAATTAGGTAAACCCCACAGTTTACATTGTGACATACATACTTCTGTCATATGCCTCCCCACTTTGGATGCTTTTCCATACATTCCTCATTTTGCAGAATTTGTGGAATTCTGCAGAACTTGTGGAAACTCTGGAATCCTGCACTAATATAATTTTCTTTTTGTGGCAATTAAAGAAATTTTAAGTGTTTTAGTTCAATGAAAGAAAAGGCAAAATAAACAAAAACATTATTTCATCCTGCTTATATTTCCCCACAATTATGTTGCTTCTCAGTTCAACCCAGCCAAATATTTGGAATAAAGTATGTCTTTCACTTTCAGAGCTCTCTCAAGTAGACCTTCTCTATAAGTATTATTTTAATGGTCTGCAGAGGGTACCCTCCAGCCAGAGTATTCAAAATATTTAACTGTTTGTAAAAAGCAACCTACAATGTAAAGCAGCATAATTACAAGTATGTTGCAGATATGAAGGGAATTAGAAATTTATTTGAATCTTGTGTGGGCAAACATTTAAACTGCTATTGTCTGAATTTATAATTGCTTCACAACACTTGTAAACACAGCTATAATCACATATAGTAAGGTCATCAGTCATCGATAGCTATACTTAAAAAATGCCCATAACATCCTTCACAATTACATATAAAATAAAATAAATGTCTCTGTCTGCAGTGAGTCTAAAATAATTATCAGAAAACAAGTACGGAAGGAAAATATATAAGGCACGGGTTGAAAAGTACACGGCAAATATGATGACATGTACCCTACATGTAAAGTTTATAACCAAGAATGAGGATTCAGCATGCTTCTTTGGGGATCTTCCAGACGAAGTTTTTATTGCAGGAATGTCCTGCTTTGCTTGCAATAAGCAATAGGTAGGGCAGCTGCACAATAAATGTCTTTTTATCAGTTAAATATTTTATGAAGATCTTTCTCAATAGACTTTTGGGGAAAGAAAAATGACGGGGAAAGACAGGAGAATTATAAACGGGAAGCGCCGTTACACTAAACGTTGGGCGAATGCGACATGGCACCGGTGCAAAAGAAGCCTTGCCTGGAACCACCCTAAGACGACCAGGCCAAAGGCCACGTAGCAAAAGGGAGCCGCGGACACATGGAAGAGCGGGTGGGAAGGGGCGTTCAGAACCGCGGCGCGCGCCCGATCGTTTCGCTTTCCCCCAACGAAATCGCAAATCGGTGTCAAGCGCGAGATTCATCGCGTTTCCTTTTGCAAAGAAGCCGAAGCCTGGCACAAGGGCAGAAGAAGAGCGCTCGAGGGCTCAAGAAACAGCCTTGCCCGGGGCCGCACAACGGGCACACTCACCGGCTGCCGCAGCGCCCAGACACAACTACCAGGACCAGCAGCCACCGAGAACGGTTTCCTGAAATTCGCCCCCCCCCCTCAAAAAAAATGCGCAGGCGCGCCGAGTTTTTATTTCTTTATTTTTTAGAACCTCCTCTCCCTTTCCCTCTGACGTCAGAGGGCAAACCACGCGAGGTTGTCCGGTTCAGCATTCGCGGTGGTGATGGGAGTTGTGGTTCACCGTTCGATTCCACGCAGTTAGTCTCATTGTACGCAGCTTCGAAGTTTTCACTTGTTTGGGGAGAATACGTTCCCTTTTACTACTGGATGTAATGCACTTTTCCTTTTACTGATTTTCTTCACTCTGTTGCTGAAACACACATCTACTGGATTGCATTGCGAGAAATGCACGCAATCGTTTGTGGGGTGGGGAATTATGCTGCAAAATTTCACCTTGAGGATTGATTTTATTTTATTTTCTACACGAAGCATATATTCTTGCACATTGGATCCTATAATTAGGTGGCGAGGACAGAACTACATTACTGCACAAGTATTCTGATTTCCTAATTTTATTATAACCTATGGCTAGTTCCTCTTCACAAACTGGTCCCTGGTTCAATATTTACACCGTGTCTTCCTGGTTCGCTCCTCATTTTTGATTTATTTAATTTCCCGTTTCCCCCGCCTTTCGCATAGTAAAAAAGGACGAGCTTTTTGCAAATTCATAACGTTGGACGGGAAGACCGCTTAAGCGCATTCAGTTACCAATGCATTCAGCATTGGCTTTAATAACTAATTTTCCCCAAAATTTATCACGGGAGTGGTAGTTTTCCCTAGTGCAAATGTCCCCCCCCCCCGGCATAATGGTGTTATTTGTCGATCACGAGCTTCCCAGCTGTGGAATGAATCATCTAGCAGGCTCAGTCAAGTGAAGATCTGCCTGTGTGCGAAATGAAAATGGCTCCGAGAAGGAATTCTGAAAGGAAGGGGCTGGAGCCTTTGCTCTGAACGTAAAGAAGAAATGGGGAAACGGGGGAGAAACTCCGCTTGCTTTACAAACTATATAATAGTTAGCTTGTGCCTTCTGCTGGTCGGATTTGTTTCTTGGGGACCTGTAAAGGCGAGGCCTTTGCTCCATCCTAAAGAGAGCTGTGGTACTTGTGGAAAGCCTAATGTTGTGCTGGTGATGTGCGATTCTTTTGTAAGTAATTTGTTTTATTTTAACAGGCCATTTAGACAATTTTGTTTTTCTACTGACTTTGATTGAAGGAAAAGATGACACAAGACTCATTTTCAGCTACTGACCTCTTCCCCAGTGTGATGCCCTCCAGATATTTTGGGAGAGTAATTCCTGTGGCCATAGTAGGAGAAGATTAGTGGAAGATGTAATTTCATATCAGGGAGTCCCATGTTCTGGAGAGTTGGCCTACTGTGTGTCTCTTTTGGCTGCTTCACCTTTCTGTCTCTTCCCATTTGAAGCAGAAACCTAATGCATCATTAGCACTGAATGTGAACTCAGTAGCTAAATTTTATCCAAATAATTTGAGTATATTCACTATGTAAACTGCAATCCTACTGAACATTTTCCCATTGAACCAGTGGAATGCACTTCCAAGTAAAGTTGCATAAAGCTACCATGCCTTTCCAAGATAGGAACAGTGAAAATGAGGAAACAAGTGGTGCAAACATTTCAGACAGTTATTTGTGTACACTAGGGGGGCTACCAACACAATTAATAAAATAATAGGTTGAGAGATTTTGCAAGTTTTTCTGTGTTTTTAAATAATGGTGAGAAGATGATTAGGGTTAGAAAAAAAATAGACATGTCTATTAGACTTTTAGCCATGAAGTTGCTAGCAAAAATGACAGTTGCGTACGCACATGTCAGATTGCTCTCATGGAATCCTACAGAAAGACAAAAGCTTTTAAACACACAATATTTAACCCAAAGGTGCTTTTTCCAAAATCCAATAGAACATCAGCCAATAGAAGGTCCCCGAAGGCAGAGTCCCCAGCCGCTTCAGGGCATGGCATGGCTGCCCATGTCCCCTCGCCATTAGGCAGTGTCTTTCAGGCGATGGAAGCTCCCCAAGTGCAGTCACCACACACACACACACACACACACACTCCCCTTGCCGTGAGGCCGCTTCTATCGGCTGACGAAAGCTCCCCGAAGGCAGAGTCCCCAGCCGCTTCAGGGCGTGGCGTGGCTGCCCGTGTCCCCTCACCTTTAGGCAGTGTTTTTCGGGCGATGGAAGCTCCCCAAGTGCAGTCACCAGCCACTTCGATCGGCAGATAGAAACAGCCTCGCGGCGAGGGGAGTGTGTGCGCGCTCGCCCCGAGGCCACTTCTATCGGCCGATTGAAGTGGCTGGTGACCGCACTTGGGGAGCTTCCATCACCCAAAAGACACTGCCTAATGGCGAGGGGAAATGGGCAGCCATGCCACGCCCTGAAGTGGCTGGGGACTCTGCCTTCGGGGAGCTTTCATCGGCCAATAGAAGCGGCCTCGCAGCGAGGGGAGTGTGTGTGTATGCTCGCCCCGAGGCCGCTTCTACCGGCCGATCAAAATGGCTGGTGACTGCACTTGGGGAGCTTCCATCACCCAAAAGACACTGCCTAATGGCGAGGGGACATGGGCAGCCACGCCACGCCCTGAAGCGGCTGGGGACTCTGCCTTCGGGGAGCTTTTGTTGGCCGATAGAAGCGGCCTCGCGGCGAGATACGTGCATATGGGCTGCTCTAGGTGGGGGAGGAAATTAAGTCACCCCCAAAAAGACGGCCTAGCCATTTTTTCAGGGGTCAAAAAAAAATAAGGCCCGGCCTTATTTTGTGAGAAACACGGTAGAACTCACCTAGTTTCTACCCTGGTGCCCTAACCCCTACATAAAACTGGCTCTCTTCTCTCCCTAAAAACGTACCCAAAATATTTAATTTTAAAAATAAATACAATACATAAATTACACATTTTCACCACTGATTTGTAATACTCCTTAATCTCCAAATGCATTCTCATAAGTCATTTTTTTCCCTTGCAGGATGGAAGGCTAACATTTTCCCCAGAAAATGAAACAGTAGTTTTGCCTTTTATAGAACTCATGAGGAGGCAAGGCAGTCTCTTTCTTAATGCCTACACCAATTCTCCCATTTGCTGTCCATCCCGTGCAGGTAAAGTTATACAAAAAAAGGAAATATTTGGATAAATGGCAGAACAAGAATAAAGGACCTACAGAGAAAATATATTCCTTCCTTGAGAAAGGAGAGAAAATATTTTGATGGATTTTCATGCTATAGGACAGTGATGGCTAACCTTTTCATCCTTGCATGCCGAAAGTGTGTGCGTGCACCCGCATGTGCACACACATGTCCCTGCACCCATAATGCAATGCGCACATGACCCCCCTGCGATATGCATGCAACCCCCGTGTGCCCCGCGCCTCTGCGCACATTTCCCATGTGCGTCCACCCCCTGCACATGAGCGGCAGATACCCGACAATCAGCTGGCTGGCGGGAGATGCACACTCATGCGCAGTGGAGCTGATGGCTCATGTACCAGCAGAAATGGCTCTGCGTGCCACTTCTGGCACACGTCCCATAGGTTCGCTATCACTATAGGAGTTCACAGGGAGCTTGCACAGTATTGTTCCACAGAAGTGGCAAAAAAATTATCTTCAAAGTCACAAGTCACTTGACTTATGGTCTGCCTTCCAAATTGTATCAAGTGAAGAAAACAGTTGTATAAACAAATTGTTTTACTAATATTTTTTCAGCTATGTGGAGTGGCCTTTTCCCTCACTTAACTGGGTCTTGGAATAACTTCAAGGGCTTAGATCCAAATTATACTACATGGATGGACCTTATGGAAAAGAAAGGTTACTATACTAAAAAATATGGAAAACTAGATTATACTTCTGGACATCATTCATTAAGGTGAGTAAAGAATGAAATATATATCCAGGGTTTATTGATGAAATCTCAATAATTTCATTGTTGTTCTTTTTATTGATTAAATGCTTTTCAGTGCTCCTATCTTTCAACATGAAAACAAAGTGTCTCATAGTCAAGGGCTCACTGTAAAAATTGTTTCAGATATAATTCTTAAAATGAATAACTCCTGTGACGAACTGTTCCTCTCTACTCCAGACTCATGAAATGATTTCTATTTTATGGTTAAACAAAACTTTGAATTAGAGGTTTGCTTCTGTTAGTGCTGTGGCATTACCAGTAAACATTCTACCTTTTAAAAATGTGCCTTATATGAAACATGAAGTATGAAGTGAATGAAGGAGGTATGTATGAAAATGCTTCTCATATATTTTTTACTAATTTGGCATTTCACACTCCTCAAAGTTGCAATTGGTGTCCAGCTTCATTCTTTATGTATTATTTATGTCAAATCTTGTCTGGATATTAGGTTAGTCCTAATAATACAAAAAATAACAAAGAGGGATTTTATTGCCTGATAGAATCCAGTCTGTTATATCTATTTGCTCAGTGGTAGTAGGAATAGTGGTATAAATAATGAAAGCATAACATCAACAAACTTTTTGGAGCCATATGCAGTTCTTGAGAATTTCAGGGAAGTAAAAATCAGTGTTTAAGTGTGACTTCTGGTGAGCCCCATGACTGTTTTGATGATATCTCTCAACTCTCAGCTGCTCATAACGCAACCCTTTGAAAAAAGCTTGACCAGGACTCATTTCTTAATTATCTTTGGATCTATTTTTTATTGCTTTGAAAATATTAAGACCCTTCAGAACTACAAGTTTTTATTGCATTCACTAGGGAAAACTCTTCCTTAGCTTTAGAGAAAGGAGTTTAAATACAGTTTTAAGAACTTGAAAAAAACATTAGCATTTGGAATAAACAGCAAAATGGTATACAGAGTTAAAAATGGGCTTACATTGACTTGGAATAAAAATTTGAAATTAAAGTTAAGAATTGTTCCCCATAATTTTTTGGATGAGGGAGTTCTTTGGAAAAAAATCAATATAGAAAGGGAGTTTGAAGGTTGGACACTAGAGGGAACTAGAAGAACATAAATATTAAAGATGAAGAATACTTAAGTTTTACTTGTTATCAAAGAATGCAGCAAAATACCTTCACGGTGGATATTTTTAAGGATATCTTTGAACATCAGCATCAGAAATTGATTTTAATAATATCTGATACCATATAAGTGTGTTAGTGATGTCACAGACAAAGAACAAGCTATATTGGATAAGACTGAAATTGATTTGAATATGTATTTAAATATGACAAGTTACAACAATGATATGGAAAAAGATGATATACTAGATATACATATGAAACTGGCTGATGTCTTAATATTTAAAAGGAACATAAAGTAACAGACAAAAGAGTGATTTAGATGACCTTTTCTTATTGAATGTACAAAAGAGCTATTAAGTTCTTGAAGGATTATTTGACAAGGGACACAAATAATGAAATGAAATCAAGTTCTGAAATTATTTCAAGTGATTAAAAATTGTTAAAAGTACAGGGAAGGAGTATAGAGTTGGCTTATTTGAACAAGGTTAGAATTGATATTTCATTATTTCTGGTAACTTAATGGACTTTTGCTGATAAGAAATGAAAAACAAGGCAATTTGAGCAATGAGATAGGCAAAGTAGAGAGGTTTTGTTGAATTTTGAGAAATGGTGACAACTTACTAAAATTGTACTTGTAATAAAGGGGGAAATTATTTTTATATACTTTTTAATTATTATTTTATTTTCTATACTTTTTATTCTTTGTATTTTTTATTTTTTGGTAGTTTGTAATACATGTTTAAAAGGTATATTGGACAAAGCCTATAAAAATGCTTGATATTGTTCATTAAAAAAACAATGATTATGTGGATATTAATTTCAAAATGGATTTAGAATTAATTAATAAAGCTGCTATTCAAATCATCTGTCTACACTCACTTAGCCCTGCCCCAACACAAGTTAAGGATGTTAGGGAGACTGACTAATGGTTGTTTTCTTTATAGGTAGATGCTATCAGACTGAAGGGAAACAAAACCAGGGGAATCCACTAATCCTTTCCCTTAACTTGTCCTACTGTAAAGCCGTAGGGCCTTGGATGGTGTGTATCCCTTGAGTATCCTGCCCTATTGTTTTGATTGCTTTGTAAGCAACCCTTTCATTCTGAAATCAAGCAGAATACAAATAAATATAGGAAAATGTCTTTCTATTCCAGAAAGGATAACTCCAAAAAATTTTTTTAAAATAGAATAACAACCAATCATGCAAATCCCTATATTTAGGAATTCTGTGGGAAGCTGCCACTAACAAAGCTGGCAGAAATCTTTCTAAGGGTTTTGGTTTGAATGATGTGATGAAATACAGTAGATCACTTTTTAGCAGAGATGTAGGTCACGTGACTGTTGTGGTAACTAGAAAACCCTCATTGGAGTAGAGATTGTTCAATTTTTGATAAAAAACAACAACAACAGAATAGGGATAACAGGGAAGTTGAATACTTTGCCTAGCACTTTTGGTGGGGGTGAGGGGGGATGGAAAATGTATATATGGATGCAGGATGAAACAAAGTTTGAGACAGAAATCTTCAGAAATTGCTTTGTTTTACAGTCACTTTTCAGTTTATGTTGTTTCCATGGAAACTAATAATTGCTTAAGTCTCTACTGGCCGTTAGTCAGGTTTGGATGATATTTGACTAAGGTCAGTAATGAAACAAAGCCATAGATAATTCTAGCTGTAGCCATAGATAGATTAAATATTTCTCTAAAATCACAGCCTGTCCCATGATTTCAATGCACACCATCTACTTTGGCATGTTGCATGAACTGAATAATCATATATTGGCCTACATTTGCTGTTACAAGGAAGAACCTTGCTATAATTGGTTTTACTGAATGTTGCAGAAAGCCTAACTTGATCATTCTTGTGGTCCCTTCTAGTTTTATAGTTCTGTGATTCTGTGGAGCACAACTGGCTTCAGGTTCATACATTCTTACCTTTACTTTCTGCTTCTATAGCTGCTGTGAGAGACATAGGAATAGCGTGTAATTTGGTGATATATACATGTACTGTGCAGCCTAACCTTTTAAACTGCAGCAATAGTTAATAAAAACAAGACAGCATCATAATCTTGGGTAATTTGCATGCAATTACAATTCAAAAGCATACCTTGAAAGCTCTTCTTATTTTCAGTAACCGTGTGGAGGCTTGGACCAGAAATGTTGATTTTTTGCTTCAGCAAGAAGGCAGGCCTGTGGCTAAACTCATAGGCAACAAGACATATATAAGAGTTATGCAAAAAGATTGGAAGGTTACTGAAGAAGCAGCAAATTGGATAAAAAATAAGGCAACTAAACTATCACAGCCCTTTGCTCTGTACCTCGGACTAAATTTGCCTCACCCATATCCTTCACCATCCTCAGGAGAAAATTATGGGGCATCCACATTTCTCACATCTCCATATTGGCTACAAAAGGTATGTATATACATAACATATGAAAAAGATTTAATAATTCTTTGTCATCTTACTCTTTATTGGTACATAAGTCAACCTCAGTCTAATATTTATTATTCATTTGTTTGACTAATTGATTTATGGCACTCCTTTTCTTAAGGAGCTCAAGATAGTGTATTAAACCTTCTCTCCTCTGAAGTTTTCCCCACGACATCCTGTGAAGTAGTTTGGACTGAGAAATAATAACTAGCCAAAAGTTATCCAGTGAGCTTCTCTGGCTGAGGGACTTTGACCATGCTACTAGATCAGTCTTCCATAATCTGATATTTTCCAAAAGTGTTGGATTCAATGACTCAATGAATCCCTTAGTTAGCCAAGTCCCTTAGCTAGCCTAGATGAAGATCTGAGGTGATTGTAAGCCAGCATTTCTAAAATGACCTGGGATAAATTATTGGAAGCCAAGTAGGTATTCTGACTTAGGCTTTCCCAACAGCACGAAGCCAAGTTTTTTTATTTAATTTACAATGAATTTCCTCTCCAACAAAGACCTGGCCAACAGTCTTTCAAGATAGTTCCCAATTCCAGACCTTTATCAGGCTTGGAGAATGGCCAGGTCAATATCTTTCAGATGCCGCAATACTTAATTATCTCCTGCAAAGCTCCACTCCCCTTTCACTCCCTTTTATTCTCTAGGAGAGGGACCATTCACCATCCACCTGTGGCTTTACTCCCAAGTCAGCTCTTGTTCCTTAGCTGTTCCCTTCTTCTGGCAACTCTGTGCATGCG